ATAGTGGCCCTGGTGTGTTCTAAAACCTGTCTTATACTGATCAGGAGGATGCATCCTAATCTGATGGTAACCCGAAAGAAGATCCAACTTAGTAAAGAACTTGGAACCCTTCAATTCATCTAACAAGTCATCAATTACTGGAATAGGGAACTTATCTTTGATAGTGAGTGCATTAAGTTGCCTGTAGTCAACACAAAACCGCCATGAACCATCTTTCTTGAGCACTAATAGAACTGGTGAAGCAGACTCCTACTGGGCTGTATATATTGTGCCTCCATCATCTCTTTGACCAACCTATCCATTCATTCTTCTTAGGTATAGAATAGCGTTATGGCCTAAGGTTGACAGGCTGAGTGTTAGGCTGTAGAGGAATAGTATGGTCACAGTCTCTGGCGGGTGGATGGGTCGTAGGTTTTCCAAACATATCCTGGAACTCCTTTAACACTGGCTCCAAAAAATCAGGTACCTTGCCCGGATTTGCTGCCTCAATAGAGATACTCAACAAATGCCCTACCAAAGTAGCTTTAGTTTTCTTCAACATCCTGTGGAGACTTTTGCCTGAAATTGCATTACACTGAGCCATGTCATGAATTCCCTGCAATGCTATCTCCTGGCCTTCCCACTCAAAGAACAACTGGAGATTCACAAAATCGAACTTCACTGGGCTAATGGTCTTCAACCAGTCCAGTCCCAGTACTACATCATTGGTACCCAAGTTGAGTATCCTCATATCGAAGGTAAACTTCTGCTCCTGCATTTCCCAACAGAAATCTTTGCAAATCATGTTGCTCAGCAACACTGTGCCATTGATAACGATGTAATTGCACATATTTGCGACCCTAGTTCTTATTCGTTTGAGGGGCATAGTCGTGTGTTTTGGCCTATTTTACGCCGGGTTGTGCTATTTTGTCATGTTTCAGGTCCCAGGCGTTAAAGGGAAGGCTAACCGCGAGTTTCGGGGCATTTGGAAGTCATTTCGGTGAGCTGGAGCCAAAACAGGGCAGCCCAAGGAATTACACGGCCGTGTACTGCTGGCCGTGCTTTTTATGCCGAGAGCAAATTCAGTTTGGCCGATTCAGCTGCAAACACGGGCACCGAAGCACGGCCGTGTTCAGGCAAAGCACGGCCGTGTACCTCGCGAAGCACGGCCGTGTTTCCAACAGCTGCTGGCCGTGTAATTAAACACTGGCCGAAACACGGGCAGGCTCAGGCAAAGCACGGCCGTGCCCTCGACCGTGCTTTGGCCACTGATGCTTTTAAGCAGATTTTCAGCCACAACTCAAGGGGATTCGAGTTTTTGAGAGAAAGAACGACTTCTAGAGAGAGAAAGTGACGAGCAAGAGTTCCCAAGTGCCCTAGATTGATCTTCAACACCATTGGAGGCCAGCTTGAGCTTGGAGAAGTGCCAATCAACGTCTAGAACCAGGAATCCATCCTTCGCAGTATGAATTCCGTGTCTGATTCTGCTTTTGCTTTCTTCTCTATGGAGTAGTTCTCCCATTCATCTGGGTATGGAGAACCCTAGATTTGTATGTTAGGCTTTGATTGTATGAACCCAAGTACTGATTCTGTGATTGATTATATTCGATTGAGGTTTGAATGATTGAATGACTTGAATCCTGATCAAATTCCTGTTGTTTCTGCTTTGACCTAGAATGAGAATATCTGCCTAGGTTAATAGAGTATCCTTGATTGAAGGTAGGGAGTTGGTGACTTTAGTCGAGGAGCCAACTCACTATTCTGTACCGGATTTACTCCGGTAGTGGAGGTTTTGTTCTTAGGGCCTCAATCTGTCGACTCCGGTGGAGGTTAGTCGCCCGCTAGAAAGTCAGATTGAGAGGGTCTGAAGACCTTTAGTCGAGACTTCAGACTGTTTAAGAACCTTCCGCAGTATAACTGTCATAGAAACTGAACTTGGTAATTACAATCCGGCTTAACTGCAGTCTAGGGGGAACCATATCCGGGTGACCTCTTTAACCTGAATACAACAGTTTACTTGCTTTGTTTGTTTGATAGTTTAGACTTGCATTAAAGTTTCATTGCTAGATAACAAGAATTCACTGAGTAGTCATCAAATCTAGGACCCGGATTGATAATTAAACCCAAACCCGCTATACTACGCTTTAGGAAGTGGTTTCACTTGGCCAATTCCTGGAGTGACAGTAGAGTCGAGTCAGCCATCAACTAACTTAACCCTCAAAGGGGTCGTTGCCTGCACTATTTTGCACTTCAATTCCATAGCCTTCTCCTCACTTAGAAACGTGTGTGTACTGCCTGTGTCAATCAACACATAAATCTTTTCCTTCCTCACCTTTCCTTTGACAATCAATGAATTAGAGAGTACCCCGCTGCTCAGGGCTTGCATTGAAACCTCCACTAACTCTGGTTGCTGCGCCTTATCAAAGATCTCTTCCATATCATCATAATCTAACACACTCTAATCCTCAGGGGCTAGCACCTCCCCATCCTCAGCATGTATAGCATTCAACTGCTTCTTGGTGTTACAAACATGCCCAAAATAATACATGTCCCCACACTTGTAACACGCCCCCTTCGCAAAATTTGGCTTGGTGTTGGCATGAACTGGCGCCTTCCCTGAATTATTAGAACGGCCACCAGTCCATTCCCACTTCCTAGGCCCGCTGACTGGAACCTAGCCCCGCTGGCTGGACAGGTCTCATCCCCCCAGCAGACCCCAATCTCCACTTCTTCCTTCTGGCTTCATTGGATTCTTCCTCGAGCTGGGCCAATTGAAACGCATGAGACAACGTCACTGGCTGCCACATCTTGATCACTAGCCTAATCTCTTCTTCCAGTCCACTCACAAAGCTGGAAATGAAATATTGTTCTCCTAAAGCAGGGTTATAGCGAACCATCTTAGACTTCAATTCCTCAAATTTCTTCTGGTACTCCTGCAAGGATCCTCGCTGACGCAACTTATTAAACTCTTCCAAAATACTCCCAAATTCCCTATCGCCAAAACGTTGGCACAAATCGGACACAAATTCATCCCAAATCCAATCGCGATGCTCGATCTTCCAGCCTTCGAACCAAATATCAGGGCGACGATCAAAATAGATCGAAGCCATCCGAACCTTTTGATCCTCAGGAACGGCGTATATATCAAACAATTTCTCACACTTGCGAATCCAATCCCTAGGATTATCACCACGAAACTGAGGAAACTCAATGCGCGGCAGCTGAATGTTCTGATTATTACCTCAAAGTTGACATAGATTTGGACCTTGCTCAGCATCTGGAATGTGCTGAAATCCACCCCGCGGCAGCGAAATGTTCGCCGCGACTCGCGGTTGCGCCATCGGTAGAGGTAAGATTCCGCGGCCATCATGACGAGCTACTTGCTGATCGACGGCTCCCTCTGGTCTTGCTTGAAGTGCCTCCAGTCGACGGATGATCTCTTGCATACTCTGGTCAAATTGAGCAAACCAAGCCACAGAGCGGTCCTCCATGCCGTCCAACCGAGTCGTCAGAACTGCAAACTGCTGCGAATGACCCTCCGAGCGAGCCATTAACTCCTGTAGCTGAGTCGATTGATTTCGATTCTGATCCTCCAGCGTCGCGATCTGGGTGCTGAAAGCAGATTCTGCTTCCATCGTCCTCGTCGAGAACGAACTCAGGCGATCGTCGAGCTGGCGTACAGTCGTAGCCATGGCCGAGATATGGCTCTGATACCAATTTGTGATGTTCTGGATCGGAAATGGATCTCGGCGACGAGAGAAGAGAGAGTGACAGAGAAGAGAGAGAGAGAGAGGGAAAGTTTGTTATTTCTTTCTTAGTTGACCGTTAGGTTGTTACAGAGCTGTATTTATATACAATTCACCCCAATATCACTTTTGGTCCCTATAGCTCTTTTCTTTACATTTAAGTACAAGTGTTACACAAGCTCTACTATTTTCCCTTGCTTCCTTGTTCCCAATTGTCCATATTCTCCCCGCCAAATGTTGAGATCGACCTTTGCTGCCATCTATTGAGGTCACAAGCAAGAAGGCCTTTTATGTTTTCAATTAATGCTTGTTGGAAATACGTTGAAGGATTGTGGGTAGCGCTTTGTTGAACTTGCTGGAGTTCTTTATTTAACTCATGTTTGGTGGTCTTTTATTACAGCCAAGTAATATGTGGCGATGTTGGATGAATTCACATGTCAAATGAGCTTGACACCTAACTAAATGTCATTGGAGTTTATTTAATAGGTTAATTGAGGCTTGATCTCTTGTCTGCTAGAGATTGCATAGTTAAACAGAAAAACAGATGGGAGTGGTTGAAGAAACGAAGAAGTAATAGAAATGGGACTAAGAGAAGTATATTTGTGATGCTTTCTTATAATTTTAGTAGTTGTATTTTTTATATTTATTATAAAAAGTATTTTATTTTTAAAAAATATTTTTAAAATAATTATTAATAATATAATATTGACTCTCTGTTCACACTCTCAAGATTGAATTCTTCAAAACACGACATTCTGACGCTCTCGCTTCATGCTCTGGTTACCTAACTTAGTACATGCATCGGAGTTAGAGCATAAAAATTTGAAAAATATTGTACTCTATATTATGTATTAATTGATGTTTTTGGATCATATTCTTTGAATCGTTTTAAGCAAATGACCGCATTTTGTTGACTTAATGATATAATAGGTACGTTTAGTGTTAAAATTAAAAAAAGAATTGTAACGATTTAGTTATAATAATGTTGGATGAATGGGGCGGGTATTACCCATGGGTACCCGAAACACACGGATATGGGAATGTGTTTGCAAAACATTTCTCGCACGGATATGGGGCGGACATGAGTTTGGATATTTGAAAATGAGGATGAGGATGATTTTAAACAAAATCGCCCTATTCCCAATTTCCCATTCCTCCTGGGAGAAGGATCGAGGGGCAGAACAGGAAATGAATTTTGCTAATAGAAAAAAAAATTGGGGGAAAAATCCAAAACAAATCCGATTTACTATATACCTTATTTAACTAACCACTCCTTTTCCCCTTCTCTTCTCTTCGTTTCCATCTCTCCACAAATCTTCGTTTGATCTCTGGTGCGATTTCAGATAAACAAACAGTGCACGCATTTTGGTCCCCCGAATCAAATGTTAGCTGTGTTCAATAAGAACGTGGCCAAGTCCCCGGCGGAGCTCCAGAGCCCGGCCGCCGGTAGTGCCGCCTCCGCTCTCAAAGATGGGTTCATGGCCAAGCATTTCGAGTCCCTTCACCCTGGTTCCGTCATCGTCAATCTCGGCTCATCTGGGTTGATCGCATACTCTCTTCATAAGCAGAATCCTCTCGTCCCTAGGTAGACGATGCTGTTCATTATTCAATCTTCCCAATCCTAGATTTGTTACTCTTGTCCTGTTTTGAATGAGCGCTTTTTAGTGATCCAACTCTTATGGGCTGGTCTGATATGATTTTCGACTGTTTGATCAGATGGGTTGGTTGATTGGATTGGATAGGATTGAATTAGTCATGGCTTCATTAATATACGATGAGCTGGAAATTTGTCAATGGGGGCGATCAAATAGATCTTCCTGTCCTCGCAGTTTTCGAATGTGAATCATTGTTAAGTGTTCATCCCTTGTGAATGAGCTTGCCTGTTGAATTGACTGCTGCTCGGAGTTCTGATTCAGTTCTCTGGTTCTTATGCATATGATAAGGTCTCCTATGAACCTTTCCTAAATAATTAGGTTCCTAAGTTAGATGTTCCGACCGTGTAGTGAGTGCATTCATTGATTTAGTTGTAGAATTTGGATTTGGCTAATCTAGGGTCTCTTTCTAGGTCACTCGAAGATCGAGAGATAACTTTCACATGACTTGTGTGTGTGTGTGTTCATGTATGTTGCTTACTAAACTTGCTTGGTCCATGGTATGTTGGCATTGCTTCTGGTGATAGGTTATTCGCAGTGGTGGACGACATCTTCTGCTTGTTCCAAGGCCACATTGAGAATGTAGCCGTCCTGAAGCAACAGTACGGGCTAAACAAAGCTGCGAATGAGGTTATCATCGTCATTGAAGCTTACAGGACTCTCAGAGACCGTGGGCCATACCCTCCGGATCAAGTCATCAGAGACATCCAGGGCAAGTTTGCTTTCGTGCTCTATGACAGCGCTGCCAAGGCCACAATGTTTGCTTCTGTGAGTCACAATCAACCCTCTGCTGTTAACTATATACATACTGGATTTTGACCCCCTTCTTCATGCCATGGAGCTTGAAACCAAACTTTTTTGTCCATGTTCTGCAGGATGCTGATGGAAGTGTACCCTTCTTCTGGGGAACTGATTCTGAAGGTCATCTTGTTCTTTCGGATGACACTGAAGTTGTGAAGAAGGGTTGTGGTAAATCTTTTGCGCCGTTCCCCAAAGGTAATTGCTGCTCTTGAGATCCCTTCAGAATGTATCTCCATTTCCAGGAACAAAGGTGGTATTGGTTTATGCTCAGGTTACGAATGAATCACTGATCCTGCTTCTGTTCGCAATCTCAGGATGCTTCTTTACCACTTCTGGAGGGTTGAGGAGCTTTGAGCACCCGCTGAATGAGTTGAAGCCTATACCAAGAGTCGACAGCTCAGGCCAGGTCTGTGGTTCAAACTTCAAGGTGGATGCAGATGCTAAGAAAGAGAGCGGTGGCATGCCTCGAGTCGGAAGCTCTTACAACTGGTCCGAGCACTACTGAGTACAGACCGAGCTATAACCCCCGAGTGGCAAGGCTTTTGTTATTAATAGGGCCTTTTTTCCCCCATTGCCTTCGACGCTATCATCTTGTTTGAATTTTGCTTGTTCTGAGATGTTGCCACCTTTGTACTACTGGTATTAGTATCCGGGGAGCTCCTGTACATGTTGCTCGTGATCAAAATTCGACTAAAGGGAGATTCCTACTCCTGCTGAATATATCATCATGAAATAAGAAATATTTCCCTGTACAAGGGATTTGCCAACTATAAGCCAAAGGCCGGAAGAGAGACAAGTAGCAACGACGATCATAAGTTCTTTCTGTCGTATTACATACTTAATATACCAATTCCTATCGCGATAACGGTAACAAATTAAACAAGCCGAGCAGCTAGTTAAATGCTGGAGAATGTGAAACAAACGTTACTAGTTCTCTGCGTGATTAAGTAGATAATCTGGTTGGTTTTAGTCCTTCGCATCTGCAATACCTCCTGGTGTTATCTGAAATACGTGTTTTCTGTCAAGGGAAACAACAGTCCATATTAACGGGGGACTCTCCATGGTTAGATATAAGAACCTGAGAGGAAAAGCACAGTGAGGTTAAATAAAGAAAGGATATTGCTTCAGCCTCGGGAAGATTGGGGGCGTCAAACACCTTGCAGACACGTTGCTCGCCTTTGCCTTTCCTGAACATCAACCTGATTGTGGCAGCATGTGCCAGCACGTGCCCTCCTGCTGGTTTCTTGGGGTCTGATATGAATACTCCACCTCCAGGGTCAGCAATCACTGCAACCACAAACAAATACATGAGCAAAGAGTTAGGATGGGCAACCCTTCCCCTTCTCTTCTTTCGGGATCATGTATGTATATGACTTCATGCTTTGCAAGACCGTTAAAGGACTCCATCAATGGAAGAGGTGGGTTACCTTGGTTGGTCATATACACTGCTACATTGAATTCCTCAGCTATCTTGGTCAATCTGGATAGCATCTGCGCCAGCTTTTGCTGTAGATAGAAACTTCTTGATACTGTCAGTTAGTGCAACCAACTGTGGAACTAATGATTGTATCAATGTGCAAACAAAGTCTCATGAAGCGGAGGCACGATGGATTCACCTGTCGTTCAGCAAGTTCCCCTCTGCCTGTGAAATCCACTCGGAAAAGAGCAATCACAGAGTCCACAACCTGAAGTGAATACACCGAGGAAGAAACCGAGTGATTCGGTGGTCTTACAGAATAAAGAATCAGTCATTTCGGTTGGATAGATGGGGTAAGTCAGCTATCCAAACGTACCAAAAGTCTGAATGGTTCTTCAGACATTTTTGCTGCCAGACCAAGGAGCAGATTGTACTGGTGCTCGTAAGTATATGCCCGAGCATAAATGATCTTAAAAATCAAAAGAGAAGACTTAGTGACCAAAATCAGTGATATGATTGATTTACTAATCCAATCGGTTTTAGTAATGACGCAATTTTCTTTTACATTATCAAGCACGGCCCCTGGATCCATGCCAAATCTTTCCGCAATTGGAACTATTCTATCAGGGCGGCTGCAAGAACTCAAAGTTAAGAAGAAACCACGATGATAGCAAGGACACTATAAGAGAGACATCTTCATTGTTTTGCTGTGAAAAGAGGGAGAGAAACGGTCAAGGATACAAAGTCCCTTCAGTATCAATGTAAGCAACTTTGCCATTCCCTCCATTCATGTTGGTGGGTAGCTGCAGAAAGAAACGGCAGTTTTCAGTAACGCTTAGATATGTAAGATTCAGAAGGCTTCTAGGTCAATCCAAGGCGATTTCATGGAGGGGATTTTCAGGTGAAGAGAAAAAAGAGACACATAGTATTCTGTCTAGCAAAAGACCAAATGCCTATCATTGGATCCATTTGAAGAAATTGTTGTCTAATGTGTAAAATGGATGAAAACCAAACAGGGGTGTGCCACCTTTTATATCTACGATAGCCTCTTAGCATATCATTTTCCGGACAACTTTCACAGGACCATGCTCAAAGAAGTAGGTTCAGAGAGTAACCTGAGTGGACACACAGAGTGTATGAGCAAGCTGCGTCTTCCCAGACCTGAAGGCATTTCAATGATCAGTCCTTAAGTTTGTACTTCATTGTTTACGAATTACTCAGACAGCAGAATAAAACTTAAGTATCATCAATACTATTCGTTTCTTACCTGAACTCTCCAAAGGCTTCTGTGATGCACGAAGTTTCCACACCACCTAAAGAGACCATCAAACCAATTAGCATTAGTTACTTGGCGATCACAAGCTTGATTAACTACGATCCAGTGAAATAGGACAAACATTTCATAGTTCTGATGCATTAGAAGTCAGAACAGAACCCTTACCTCCCAACAGTTCATCAAGTGCTTGGCTTCCAGTTGTGATGCGGATAACTGCCTTACGCTAACCGGAAGAAAAAAACACGGTCGAGATTTAGATACATGACTATTTCAATGCATCAAAACAACCGTTGAAGAATAAGGCAGTATGCTGATCCATTCAACCATACTTGATCTTCTTTGTGATCAAACTAACCAGATAGGTTTGAACTTACTCTGATTAGAGCGTCACTGCCAGTCATATAACCAAAATTCTGAGGGAAAAAGAAGCACAGTGGTTTTGCATTAGATAGTAAGAAAGTCCTTTCAATATTTTTCCAAACTAAGAGATTGTTCATCGTTGCTGTAGGAACTACTAACCACTATCTTTTCTGCAGCTTCACATATCTTATCAACCTTAGCCTCAGACAAGCCCTTGATCCCGGTCAAGTGCTGCCAGCCAAACAGGAGTAATATACTGATGAGTAATGACGTTGCAAAAACCAAAACTGTCAAATAGACTCGTTCGTTTAGCTGTACCTTCTTTGTATGCATCATCAGGCCATTGCAGGTGTAGATCCCTGCATCTTGCAGCTTCTTCACATCTCCCGAATTGATTCCTTGAGATATCACTGCACAAACAGCGCAGAATTCTTACAAAGCAGCAAGGACATGAAGTAGAGAAATCTCAGGGAAACCTCAATCGATCAGTAGTAAACAAGGATCAGAGAACAAATAATCTGATCACACACGTTAGCTATGCCACAACAAAAGAAGCAGCAGTTCCATTTGTCGATCGGGAGCTGCCTGCTCTTAAGAATCGCTAGGATTTCTCGTAAGAGCTTGAGGATCAAATTAGTAACGCGAGATCTGAGAAGAGGAAGCCAATCCGGAAGGCTAAAACGTCTTCGTTCAAGATTACCAGAACGGATGAAAACAAGCCATATCAGCAGAAGCACTCGCTTTGTACAGCCTAGCCTAGATGCTGCCAAATTATCCCAGATTTTGAATACCAGATGAATCTCAATCTAAACCAAACAGCTAAAACTCAAACGAAATTCACAGCGATTAAGCGACACCGATCAGATCTCCGGATGCAATAAAAACAAAATCACTGCGGAAATATGACAAACACGTAGAGAGCAATTCTGAAAACAGGTGGAGACTATACGCACGCTTATCGATCGCTTCGAACAGTTCCTCTTCGTCGTCAATTTCCTCTCGCTCAACCAACTGCAACTGGTTCATGTCTTCGGCTCTACAAAAAACCGCCAGAAGAAATGAGTAAGAAGCGGATAGCTCAAAATTTTGCAGGGAAAAAATGAATATCAAACAAGCAGAGACGGAGAGAAGCGTAGAACTCACTTCATAGTGGTGGCGATCTTCTTCACGATCTCTAGTTTATTTCCGCTTATCTAAGCTTTTGGATGCACTCTTGAGAGTCCGAGTCTGAGAACGAGAGAGGCTCAGAGCATAAGAAATTATCTGGAAGAACCGAAATTTTGAATATGATATGAGCCGCTTCGAGGAGACTTGAGTTGCGTGATCTTTTGAAGGCGGGAATGTAGAATTCAAGGGTCCCGTTGAGTAGAAAATTTGACCGTGGCCTGCCCTGCTATTGCGAAGCGCCCGCTTCCGTGTCTTGCCACGTAGATAGCAACAATTTCCTCTGGCATTGCGATCAACAATATTCACAGGCATATAAATTCTCGCCAAGCCCAAGCCCCAACCCAGCAAATACTCCTAGGAACATCTGATCCGGGCCATGGGCCGGGGAGGAAAAATTGAGGGTTAATTGCATGGTTGGTCACTGACATTACAAAAAGCGTTCATGTTTGGTCACTCGAAATATTTAAATCCATTTTTGGTCACTAACTTTACAAAAACCGTTCATTTATGGTCACTCTCCGTTAGCTGCCGTCCAACGCCGTTAACAGCGTCCGTTAAGTGATGACGTGGCTGACGGATTCGCCTAATCATCACCTTTTAACCCAAAAATTGACTGACCCGACCCGCCACGTCATTTAAACCCTCCATATCAGCCAAACCTAACCAAACCAGACCAGACCCGACCCCTAAATAAAGAACTGACCCAACCCACCAATTAATCTACCCACCTTCATCATAGCAACCGATCCCAGGCCTCCACCATCCTCTTCCCACCCTCTTTCCTCCCCTCTCACCACCACCACCGTCTTCGGCCCCGCTACCACTTCCCAAAACCTCACTTCCTTCTCCATCTCCGACTCCCCATGGCGCCCCTCCTCCAACAAACTCCTCCTCTCTCCCAACTCCACTTTCACCGCCGGCTTCCTCCCTCTCCCCCCTTCTCCCAACCTCTATTCCTTCTCCATCTGGTACAACAACCACAGCAACTTCTCTGGCGGCACAGAAAACCCAACCACAACAACTTCTCCGGCTTCAAAAGCTCGATTCATCTAGAGGAGATACTGGCGGCCGCTTCCAGCGAGTTGCTGCCGAAGACGATGAAGAAAGATCGGAGAAAATCGATTTCCAGATTTCTGCTTCTCCTCGTAGCCTTCGCCGCCACACAATTGTTTCCAGTCGACGCTGCTACTTTGCCAAAAAATTGATTCGCAGGTTAGGGTTTGTGGGTAAAAATCTGATGTGGATTGGTTGGAGAAGACGATGTCGGGTACCCAACAAGACCTAGATTCTCTTTTCGCCTGAAATTGTCCTCTTCCAAACCGTGTTGTATCCACCAGTGGTTCACGAGAATTATATGCCCGGCGAAGACGAGCACAAACAACGGCAGTCGGCAGATAACCCAACTCCGAGATCCTAATCCGCTTTTGAAGCTCCATCCATTCCTCGATCTCGGGTGGGTGAGGCGGCAGAGTAGGTCGAGGAGTGGTGGTGATGGTCGAATTTGGGGGATTTAGGGATTGTCGAAGGGCTCGAACGAATCGATGAACAAAGAAAGGAGTGGTAGTCGAATTAGGTGGTGGTGGCGGTGGTGCTCGGCAGTTTTGGGATCCAGAAAGGAGCGGCAGCGACGGAAGCATAATGGAAAAGTCAGCTGGCGAGAACTAGAGCCGACGACGGGAACCCAAGGGAAAGCGATTTTTAGAATTTAGAAGTGGGAATCAGCTTCCGACGTTTGAGTTTTGTTTCAACAGCCAAATTTAAATTGCACGATTTTTTTTCATGGTCATTTTTTCGACGAAAATTTTTATATAGCTCTATGAGTAGTACATGTTCTTCAATTTCTTCTCAATTTTCACTTATTCTCATATAAAAAAATCTCTCATCTTCACAAACACTCTACAATGTTCATCATGTCTTCTCCAAACTATAGAAATCCCAATTGAAAAAATATATGAAGATATTTTTTTATAATGGTGAGAGAAATATTATTAATAAAAGAAAAAAACAACCCAGCAAAGGTTCAAACCGCATGAGAAGTACAACCAACACCCTAGAATTAACCGAGAGAATGAAAGAAATACAAAAGAAAATCAACAGAAAGCACATCCCTACGTATCCAGGAGCCGAAATAGACAACCCACCCCTCGTCTAGGCTGACCAAGCAGCCCCTGACCCAAAACCCAAAAAGCCAACAACAACGGAAGCGAACAACAGCAACCAGATCACCCTGCTAGCTCTCGCTAACAGCAGGGGAAGCAAACAACAGCAACCATACCTCCCTGCAAGCATCAGCAAACAACAACAAACTCGAGAGCAGAGCCCAAAGAATCACACATAAAGCTAAAAACTCTGAAAGCTGTTGTTCCTCAGCCACTCCTTTCCCTGTTCCTTGTTGGCTTTACCGAACGCAACAACGCACTCAACAATCCAGCTGATGGACTTCTGTAAAACAACGACTGGCCCTTGACTCCGATCTCTAAACGTACGCTGATTCCTTTCGACTCCGATCTCTAAACGTACGCTTATTTGCGACCCGACAAACTTTCCAAAAAGAAACCCAAGCACCGCTGCCGAATCGACATGGCAGACCTTCCAAAAGGATTTGTATTCTTTTGTAATATTAGCCCAAACCGAACCTCCGTACTCACCCCTACACCTTATGCTTTGCCATTCTGAATCAGATAGATATTTCGTCGAAATCAACTTCCTCCACCAACTGTTTCTGTCACTCGCATACTTCCACACCCATTTTCCTAACATAGTCTTGTTAAAGCAGTGGAGGTCTTTCACACCCAGCCCCCATTCTCCTTCAGAGCCTTGCACAAATCCCATGTCGATCGGTAATTGTCAATCCTCGTGCTATTTTGGGTCGGAATTGGAGTACAATATAATGAGCGGTTCTTACATACTTAAAGTGATTAATTGACTTCTTGTCTATCTTAATTGAGCGGTTCTAACGAAATTAACCGGAGGGTAGAATGTGGCATGGATGAGGACAAACATCTTACCAATGCGCAATTCTAATATACTTAACATTGTTAATCGTCTTCTTATGTATCTTATATTAATTATCTAATTTTTGACTTTGTAATCTTTTTTACCGTGGGTTGAATTTCTTACTTGTGCGTGTGGTTTAAGGTTACTAATGTAAATGAATAAAATATTTAGGTTAAACAAACAAATTAATTTTCTAGCGGACACCAAGAAAGAATGGAAGCTCGATTATTGTTGGAATATTCTCCAAAATTGTCTAAAATTTATGCAAGGATGGATTGTCCCATTGCACCCATTTCATCAATGGAAGGATCTTAATCGACCATGTCATCCGATGAAAATGAGAGCCTCGTCCTTCAAGCAAGTGTATCTCATTTTCTAATTGACCGTTCCATTTTGAAATAAGAAGGAAAAAAAGAAAGATTGTGGATTCTTCAATGGAGAGTTTAGAAAACAGTATGGCCGAAATGGCGATCGCTTCAACACCACATCCACATGTAAGATTGACAATCATTAGGGATGAACATGAGGGGCGAGGGAAGAAAAAAACATGATTGAAATTATCACACTAATTAAATTGCAGAAACACAATACGGTGCAGTCCGGCTAGTACGCGATGCGGTGCAGTTTGTGCTAATGCGGTTCAACTGCATCGCTTACCCACTCCATACTCAGATGAGGTGACTAGTGGTGTGGCATGGGATGTGACAGTGGTGCAATTTTAACAAAGAGTCTTAGCATTGTATCCAGAATTTAGAGCTTTTTGTGTTAGGCGTGATGTGAAAGGGCAGCCTGTTGTGTAGCTCGTAAGGCTTGTTTTTGTTCCAAAGGGCATTTTGGGGTTTCTTGTTCAAATTATGAGGAAAAAAGAGCTAGATCTTGAAAATGGCATAATTATTGAATCCGCTTTATTTATTATTAAGAAACCACCAAACTTTCACCCCCTGATACATCTTAATCAACAAACACGTTTTGAAATGATTTAATCCATAATGTCTTTCTTCCTTATTTCAAGTTTTGCAAGAAGCTCCATACAATCCGACTCCATCTTCCTTAGCTCTTCCTTGCTAGCATGCTCGACGTCACACAGCTTGTTCATCGGTATTCCCTCAAGTTTTGGTTTGAGGGCCTTTTGTTTCCCCTTGATTTCTTCTATAGCCTTGAGTGACTCATTTAGGGTGCGATTCAGCTCCGCAAACTTGGCTTGAAAGAAAATGTTATGGTCATGAATAATAGGAGATTCATTAAGGTATCGGTTTGCAACTTCATCCACAGATGGATTGCCAAAGGAGTAAGGCTTTCCTGCAGGGGAGTATATAAGAACCGCGATTTGGCAACCAGTCAGAGTGACCAAGTCGCTAGCCTTTTTGTGTACTCCGCTTTTGCGTTTCGAGAACCTCATTATCTTTTGGGCCTTGTTCTCGATCTTTTTTATCTCAATTTTTTGTTTTCCTTTGGTTTTCTTGATCACAGGGGAGGCTGAGGAGGAGGAGGGGGAAGCCATTTGGGGAAGGAAGGCTTGAGCGAGAATGTAGTATAGCTGAATGAAAAGCAATGCAAAATTCATTCTTCGTTGGTTGTTGTTGTTGTGTCTAAAGTCCATTTTATAGGAGAAAATCCTAGTTCAAAATCAGATTTAATTTTCATTTAGAGTCCTATTGAGTTTTTTCGTATTTTTTATATGGAATAATAATAATAACACAAATGAATAATACCATATTTTGATGTAAATTACGGAAACAATATCAATATTGAAAAAAATAAAGTTTCTAACAAAATCTCAGAGATAACTTGTCATTTAAACTGATTAACCACCAACTATTTTTTATTATTATTTATAAATATTCCAAATACAGAAATCGCACAATATAAGGTCCGAAAAACAAAGAAAATATGGGAGATAGTCAAATAATTGTTTTTCAATCGTTAGGATTTAGTATATGCACGAAATAAACTAGTTTATTTTGAAATGGGGAATGTAAAGATACCAAAAGTTTGGGCATGCTATTGGGATGTCCCGTATCTCTCCTCGAATCATACTACCACAAGCATATATAGTAACCCCATCCTAATTTTAGGGATCACAATTCTGTTAGTCATATGCAAACTCTACCTTTAGATGCCCTAGCTGCACAATGAAACCTAATCCTAAGAGGGAAAGGAGAAGAGAGTGAGTGATACACATGTTATACAAACTCTTTGTTGTGACCACTCTTTTTTAAAAAATGAATCTAAACTTCTCATGGATCTTGTAAACCTTAATTGCATTCCAGAGTCTGTGACCATCTCATCTTTTAGCTAAGAACCATAGCAAATACTACTTCATGGGAGAGACATTTTTGGGGTAACATTGTTTTGGTCTCTTTTCCTTAAATAGGAAATCAAGAGCCATATTGTTCACTACTAATTTGAGCTCATTTACGAGGGGCAGTTAGCTTATTTTGGTAGTATGACTTGAAAATACGAGGGGCACTTAGCTTAGATGACTCTAGTTAAGCTCATATATAGCTCATGGTATCTCAAAGCGAGATAAAAGGAACTTCTAACTATCTGCCTGTAGTTTGTGGTAGTTAGAGTCACTCAACTAGGAAGCTGATCTTTTGTTCGAGACATATTTCCAAAAATTGATCATAAAATTGAAGAAAAGGAATGTTGATATCACATAAATTACCCCGATTATGTGATAGTAACAGAGATTATAAAGAACTCCCCATGGACTTTTCATTTATTGTGAAAGATTGGTCTTGTCACCAAGATTAATCAACTCAGTGATTCATCTCCGAACCTATGAGATGACACCGTCATGACGTCATCTGGACAGATACGCCTCCACGTATTCCAGTTGATCTACTTGATATTAACCATCTCGTGGACCTTCATGCAGTTTTCTGTAATTAATGGAATATATTTTAGGGTTAATAGCATTTTCTGTCCCTCGTGAACTAACAAACGTGCCCGTATTATTTTTGCACAAATATGCCCTTCTAATACTACAACGTAACAAAAATACCATTCAGTTAAAAATTCTGTTTTCTCACCGTTAATTGGGGTCATAAATGACCCAACTACCCCCGACTCAATCATGCATCTCTACTACCATCCCTCCCCCTTTCGAGTGTTCCGCCGTCAAAGAAAATCCCTCGCCCTCTCCTAATTCTTCCCGCCGACGAAGCCACAACCGGCTCTTCCCGTGCATGAAGCCGCAGACGGCAACGAGCATCCCTGGAGAATCGTTCGTCCTGCCATCCCTGAGCCTCCCTCATGAAAAATCCTCCTTACTCCGCCGGAACAGAGACGTTTTCCAGCGCAGCTTCTTTCTCCGCCTGATAAGTACCGATTCAGCCCAGCTTCTTCCTCGTCCCAACCATTGGCGGATCCAGGGGGTGGCCAACCCAGGCCCCGGCCCAGCCCTCCTCTGGATTCAAAGTTAGTATAGTCCTTATGAATATTTCGATTTTAGACATTCGGTTCAATGTTATTTTATAATAAGATTGTGTATAACTAGAAAAATAATTCGTATGAACATATTCAAATAACTACTCTAAATTTAGCTTATAAATTCTAGCCCCAAATATTTTCGTCAAAATAAAAACAACGGAACCTAAAATTCTAAAAGTCTAAAGCGTAAAAGACTAATAATAGAAATATGAGATTTATTTTATTGAAAATTTACTAGAGCAGCTGTTGGATATAGGGATGGACACACAATGAAAATTGATTAGTCGATTGATTTTAGTGTTGATGCTGTCCGTTTCCACAGCTACTACGGCGAGAACCTTATCAACAATGAAACATGTGAAAACTGATTAGCTACTACGGCGATGAATTACTCGCCGGTTGCTCAAGTATTTTATTTGAAACAGAGCATACTATTGGTATGGATGTAGACTCCATTATTGATGCATTCGCTAAATTAAAACACCATCGAGAACAATTGACATTGTAAAAAAATATAAAATTATTATCCTTTTTACGATATCTAATTTCTAATGAAATGCGGCCCAGTGCGCTATTGTGTTCTGTATCCGCCGCTGGTCCCAACCGTTCCTCCCACGATCTGTCCTCGATTGCTTTGAATGAATGAGAATAGGCTTTTTATAATGAATTAGAGAAGCCATAGTCTTGCCGTATGAATCACGATTTCGGTGGGATTTGCTGCTTTTGCTTCACCCGATCGATTACGGCGGCGCTGATTGAGTACCACCGCAACACGATTTCGGTGGGATTTGCTGCTTTTGTTTCAGGCGATCGATTATGGTGGCTCTGTTGAGTACCACTGTAGCAACGCAACCGACCTAGTTGGTGAACGCCGAGCGAGTTCGTAAATGTCGTAGGTGAAGATGGCGCCGGCCTGGGTGGTGTGGTAAAGATGCGCCGGGCAGGTCGCTCTCTACGGTAGAAGTAGAACACAGAAGATGAAACGGGATAGCATTTTACCTTTTCGCCCTATATATGTGTGTTACTTTTCTTTAATCCGGCTGTAATGAGTTAAAAAAGTATGATGAAATTTCAATATTAATCAGGGTAGTTGGGTCATTTCCAGCCTCAGTTAATGGTGATAAAATGCAATTTCTAACGAAAAGGTATTTTTGTTATGTTGTAATTTTAGAAGGATACGTTTGTGAAAAAAAATAGTATAGGGGCACGTTTGTTAATTCGCAATAGTAGAAGGGTAAAAAATGCTAATGCTATTAATCCTATATCTACACATCCCTCTATAATATATAGCCGTTCTTCACGAGATTTTGAGCATTTTTAATTCCTTGCACTCTCCTTAATTGTAGCTAGGGATAAATTTGTAAGTTCAACTTAGAACTTAAATAACTTCTTACGAGAAAAAAAAATGTCATTACCAAAACTTGAACTCGAGTCCTTCAGATTGATAGTCAATATCCCTAACCAACTGAACTACAACAATGTTTATGTATTATTTGAATTAAAGAGAGAAAATGATGAAATATCTCAAAATCATACTATTATCCACTGCAACAATCAATCATCGAATTAATCCCTCTATAATATATAGCCGTTCTTCAGGAGATTTTGAGCAGTTCAAATTCCTTGCACTCTCCTTAATTGTAGTTAGGGGTAAATTTGTAAGTTCAACTTAGAACTTAAATATCTTCTTACTAGAAAAAAATGTCATTACCAAGAGTACTTGAACTTGAGTCCTTCAGATTGATAGTCAATATCCCTAACCAATTGAACTACAACAATGTTTATGTATTTTTGAATTAAAGAGAGAAAATGCTGAAATATCTCAAAATCATACTACTATCCACTGCAACAATCAATCATCGAATTAATTAATAACTGTAATTATTTACAAAGCGAGTTCCTCTGATCACACAATTCTTCACCAAGAATCAAATAGTACATTTTGAGTTTATGTATGTCTTACAACTTTTACATTTATTAGGTTACATGACTTTGCCGTTCGTAGGAATACAATGATTGTTTACAAAAGTGCTATACAAAATTTTATTTCAAAACATAAAATTTGACATTTGTGATATAGGGTTTTGTAACGAGACATTTTCAATGCTATAAGTGGATGACCAAAAATCATTGGCTTACAATTTCCCTAATGATTGACAATTATAAGCACAGAATTGAAAGACTAAATACCATTGACAAATGAGCCCATTATCATTGGCTAAATTTAACAAACAATGGTATGTGTATATACATTGGAAATTCTATGGTACGCTCAATGGATTGAGGGTTATTGCTTCTCCATAGTTAAATAAAATTATCTAGACCATAGATTAATCACGTAACTCAACCTATCATAATTCTCTAAATCCTAATATAGTGCATATGGTATGTTGTAACTCAACCTATCATAATTCTCAAAATTATCTATACCATTGGAAATTCTATGGTACGCTTGATGGATTGAGGATTATTACTTCTCCTTAGTTAAATAAAATTATCTAGACCATAGATTAATCGCGTAACTCAACCTATCATAATTCTATAAATCCTAATATAGTGCATAAGGTATGTTGTATAAATCTTAGCGAATCAGGATCATTGATTATGTTCTTAGTATATGTGATATTAGGTTTAAGTTCTATAGATTTAGGGTATATGATTTAATTATTTGAAACTTAATCTCCCTTTTCAAATTTCTTGCAATGAGAGGAAAATTAGGAAGGACATTTTTGCCTTCACAATTATGTGTATTTTTTTATTTATTTACATAAAAAGATAGACATATTGAGATTTGAACCATGGTCACTTCAAACAAAGTGAAGGTTTAAAATCAATCAAACTATGTAGATTTGTTATATTTTTTTAAATTAAAAATATATATGAAGCTAAAATATGAAATCACATAACTTTTCAACAGTTAGCTAGCCCAATAAATATTCCGTAACTACTTTTTGGTGTTTTGATACTTCGATTTTGATATTTTTATTTTAATTATAGTATAATATTTAATTTAAAATTTTATCTATCTTATAAATATACGATAACCATAAATTTGCAACCAAAATATTGTTGGTTCGAATATTTCATATCTAATTATAGTATTGAATATGTAGAAGCGATATAGAATTCTTAAATTACCATTAATTTCCAGGACTATAGTGAAGCAATCATATCTTTGTGCAAACTATAGGGGACTGGTTCTCTGAACAT